GTTGTTAGCAGGTTTCTTTGCTTTTCTATCGTCACTGGTGAACCAATCAACACGACATCTTTTTGTTTCAAACCTGGTAAACTATACCTATTCAATAGAACGTGTTTTAAAACACAAAATCTGCGGAAATGATAATATAGGAGAGATACCCCACCTTTACAGGGTGAGAGTCGTTCAAAATTTAACGCTGGATCAAGCCATTTTTCAGTGATGTAGATGTCCATTTCGAAGTCGTTGGTAAGTTCATCAATGGACGTGATTGCCTGGATCCAAATCTCCACATAGACGGTCATACCTTCGTCTTCTGCAATGATTATTCAATAGTTGGGTCAGTCAGACTCCTCTGCATGGGGTCCCAGTCTACTGTAGTCGGTAACTCTTTCGTAATCCCTCCAAAGTCAAACAGGTTTTTCCAGTTTGAAATCTGTGCTCCAGCCCTCATTTTCGAGCTTGATTTTTCAAAGGGTTGCAGTGAAGTTTGTGTGCAAACTAAAAATTGGTCCAACTCCCCTAAATAGAGCGATATATGCTACTGTTTACTGCTATCTACCCTAGTATTGAAATAAACTTTATGTTCATATGTTTTTGTTGTTGCTTGTTGTTGTGCAAGGAACCGAACCTTGAAAACACTTCATTCTCGAAAAATGCGCGTTTTGTTCGCCTTTTTCTTGCAGAAAATGAGCAACTCGTTAAGATTTTGGGATGGTGGAGATTTTAAACAGTGGCGAACACGCGGCAACGGGTAGCCGACAGGAGGCCTGTCGCGCAGCGAGAAGATAGCGACGCAGATGAGTCGGCGGAATAGTGCTCAGCGCGTACGTAGGGCTCCTAACGTAATCAAATATGATGTGTCCATAGTAACGTCCACCAACATACCGCTATGCATACTCTTCCCAGACGTCTGCATCTCTGTCTTCGCCAGACAGGCCTCCTGTCGGGTATCTTACGCGCCACATCATCTAATTGGGTAGCTAGCCTTCTCTATTCTAGACATATTTATCTTTCCCGAACAAATTACCGTAACTACTGCTTTCCGTACGAACATGTGCTGAAACAAAAAAAACGTATCGTAGAAAAGTCATTGCATCAGCTAATCATCCATTCTATCGTTGAGCAGCCACGAAAATACGCTCGAACGATTTTGTGAACAAGGCCAAATGCGTAACGCATCAAAAGCGAACTAGTCAGCAGGCGCCCACCATTTCAATGACCACTTAGGCCGATGTCAGACTTTGCGAATCGCGCGATTCGCTAGCGTCCGCGGTCGCGTTGCGGTACCAGCCAATTGAGTGATTCACTGGCCGCGACGCGACCGCAGACGCTAGCTAATTGCGCGATTCGCAAAGTCTGACATCGGCCTCTATAAGCTCAATTTGAGATGCGAAAGAGTCATGTCAGTCATAAAAAGGATGAAATGAAGAGCTTGATAATCTCAGCGTAGACGACTAACGTGGTATTCGACTTGTTGTATCCAGTGCCATTGAGAAGTTGATCAATGATATCGGTGTCTCTCGTGCAGTTCCTGAAAAGTTCATGGATGTATTGGCTAGGAAAACTGCCTTGCCATTTTTCTCTCCAGGAGTTCAAATCAAATCTAAATCGAATACAAGGTGGGACGCGCCCCGTTAACTTGCATCCTTTCACAACAGAATGCGATGGACTTCGTGAAGGCCAGGGCGGTAGTCCAGATCTGGGTGGGGGTGAGGGCATCATTGACATTGCGTCGATGGGTAAATAAAAGCTGGCGTGATCCACTCCAATCTTGTAATTGAGTCGCGATATAATGCAGAAGAGTATGATAATACCGAATATCAAAAAATTTTGTGCGTGTAAAGTCGGATAGTGGTCAACGGAGAACAAAGTAAGGCAATAACACGCGGGGAGCACGCGATCCACACATTAATCGCGTAGATGAGATATTTGAGATGAAATACATCCTTAACGATAGCGCTCTGACACCGAGACTTCAAAGGCGAACTCCGGATAAAAGAGGGACACCTGTCGAGTATAGAAGAGTGGGTCTATAAGTTGATCGAAGGTAATGAAAAAGCAGGAAATACCTCCAAAGAATTCCAAATTTAGAAATTCCTCTTCGTTAGTCGCTTACGAAACCAGGGCTGGGAAAATTACGTGTTTGGACATGTCTACAGCAGCTGTTGGCTTTGTGCCATCAACCGACACGGCCGCAAAAAGTCAGCAATGAAAGCTGCTTTTCTCTGGTTTCCCTATTTTTTTTTCAATTTTTTGCTATTCTTGTTCTTCCGATCTGAAATTTTTCTCCCATAGATTAAACGTCCTCAGAAAATGTCTAAGATAGGGCCTTGAGGTTTATTTCGCATTTGAAATACGTACATATTCCTCTATCTACAACTTCTAAACACGTAAAATATCTAGCATTCCAGGTGATCGTTTGGAAGATCACGTAGGACAGTGGGCGGGCTCAATGGGTTGGGGCGGCGCCAATGCTCCAACCTAGGCTCCTAGCGCCTAAACCTTATAAACGCCCCGCCACTTCTGCACATGGTCTGCCCTTGCGTACTGCTGCATATTTGACGGGGAAAACCTAAATTTCGCCAGAAATCCCGGAATTTGCCTTTAACAATTCACTCGTGGCGCGGTTTCTACTAGCAAGCATAATCCCAGGGTTTGCCTTCAAGTAATCACGAAATGAAGGCACAATTCCATAAAATTAGGGAACTTTATGGAAGCAGATGAAATGGAAGAACTTGCTCGATTCGTACAATTCGTACGATTCGTGTGAATCGTGCAACCATTCCGTTTATACCCCAAATATCTTTTTATTCAACACATCCGCCCAGCCAGAATTCCCAGAACATTTAAATATCGCCTCCTGCTCGTTTATACTCGACCACAAAACACACCTGAATCGCACGGGTTTGTGGTGGGTTTCTGATGAATGCGATATCTCCATGACGTCGTCTTCAAGCGAGTTGTAGTCGTTATCGATGACGGCACCTGTGACGGCGATCAGCCACGACGCCACGATTGCTGGCCATTTCATCTCGGTACGCTCTCAGTTGGCCAGTGTAGGCCCCCAACACGACAACGAATGGCTGGCTGCCTTCTGCAATGCGAGCCTCAGTTTCAAGGAAACAACTTGTGGCGGAACAATGACGGCTTACTTCGAATTCGGCGACATTAATTGGTTCATTTTCCCGGAGATTCCGTGGAAAATGACTTTTCCATAAAACTGTAAATGGCTGGAGGAAATGAAAAAGAATGTAATTAGATGATGTGGATGATCCTGGGAAGAAAACAAGTTTATGAATGGAGAAGAAGCTCGAGGACTTTAATTAAATCAACACACACGGAAGTCACAAAGCTGTCAACATTGCAGGAAATACCAAGAAAACTTTGTTCCCAATGGTAAATAACTGAAGAGTGCGCCATGCATGTTGTTTCTATGGCTGCATTTGTTAAATTTGATTTTTTGAAAGAAAAATGAATTATTCCTCATAGCATAGTTACATTAAAATCAGAGGCTCACAGATTCTTAGGAGCCTAAAAGGTAGAAACTCTCCTACTGGAGGATTTGATCAAGATGGAATGAGAGTGGAACTAGCTATCGATCCGATACTGGTATGATCCATACTAGCTTAGATCAATAATATATGCTGACTCAAATAAAAATAAGTATTCGTACTAGTTAAATATTATTATATAACCTAGGGCGCCGTTACCATCGGGTTTCCAAGAATCAGGTGAGCGTCGAGTGCAGACCACACGCCACAAGTGACGACGGCCTCCGAGTTAATCTGGTAACCAGTGCTTCGTAATGATAGCTAGCATAGTTGATTTATAGTTGATTATTTAGTTAACAACTGGAAAGAATACATCTGGAACCGGCCAAAATCGTTATGCATTTGACGAAAACATGCATATTCGTGTGAGGTCGTCGTCTTTTACGTTGATGTGGTCTGCAGTGCCGAGCGTCTGGTTTTCGGAGACAGTAGCGAAGTGACGTTAGAGAGAAGTACGCGGGTGGTTAATAGGAGCGCGATTCCGCGCCATTGACTACTGGACGTGTGCTGCTTAGGTAAAGCAACGCGGATCCCACCGGGGTCTGGGTAATGCTACCAGAGCGGTATAGAAGAATAAAAAACACCTATGGCGATGACTAAACAAGTTCATCGTATAAGCCATATAGCTGGGCTTAAATACCACTACGTTTTGAATGGAATGAGAATGTGTGGGTCTGATCAGCATTTAATATTGTATGCCTTATGAATTCAGCAATATATAGTGTACTTAATACTATGACTATATTTATACTTTCAGAAATGATAGAAAAAAACTAACGGTAAGTTTTCTCGAATTTATTTAAAATTCCTAATTCTTTGATAAATGAAAGCGCAATTGATAGAAGCGCTCAATTCAACGTATACCTTACGTAGGATCGGTCCCTGACACACTCAGCAAAATTCGATCTCAAGCACCTATTTCTGCGGTTTTACAATGAACTTTTATCAGGCGATAGAAGTATTGAGTTAAGGCCACATCTATGTAACTCTACATCCTTTTTATCATTTCTTGATCAATAGTTTTGGTTATGTTACAAACTAAAGCTAGGAAATCTAAGTTGGACTTGGAATCGTATGCAGCAATCCAAATACAATACCGCTACTAATTTTTGTTCAATCGACGGTTTGCGACGGTCGGAAACCGTCGCAAACCGTCGGCTCGCCATAACTCTTTAAAAAATGGTTCGCTCGACCTGCAGTTTATACCATCTGATAGCTCTGCTCGAGATCTACAAGATGGTTAAATTCAATTTCTGAAAGAGCTCCATCTAGGATTGCGCCATGCACTCGACCTCCATCCCGAGAAGTAATGAATATACTTTGTATGTGATGCGCATATAAGTCCTCCTATGCAGCCTGATCATCCCACAGAAACATGGATCTCAACACCCTCAGAATACGCCACGTACCCAACCGGTCCACCATATGGTGAGATTGAATGAATGTTTTTTTTTTCGAATTTCACGATCTTATACTTCGTCTTAATTTCGTTCTAGAGCGTAATGGCTAACTTAATGCACGTTAACTCACACTCTTCCATCTAAACGCACGCATCGACGCACCTCTCCAACGGACTTCCACTCAAAATGAGAATCATTCGAACAGTTTCCAGCAGTAGTAGTAGACCTATTATGTGACATTCCCCACATTTAGAGGAGATGATTTGCGGAAACCTGAGAAGATAGCCAGGAATCTCTCCACTGACGTAGACTCCAGTTACTTCTCTGTAAGGATTGATGTAGAATATTTGGTCACGATAAGCGCGTAACGTACTCCGTGGAGGCCGGCCACCCGTGGTGTGGCCGCGGCCACTACATGCACTCTCGCGTGCAGATGCCCTTAAAAATGAAGAATTCACGCACCTTTTTTCGCCGGTTCTTCTACACTACTCGACTTCGCCCACTAGAGATGGACTCGCAGACCTGAGATGTGCCCCCCGGATTCCCCGTGAAAAATGCTATCGAATGATATGCATTACTCCTCCCAGTTGAAACTTTGGTTTTTCACCGTTTTCAGCCTTCCCCTATTGCCGATTGGGCATCATTATTCCACTATTACTATCCCAAAATCTCAAAGTTTCATTTTTCGTCGAAACTTTGCCTATTGGGGTAATTCGATGCCCTGATTACGAATATGACATTCATTCTCGTAGTGGGGCCCCAAACATCACACCTCGCCCCATTTTTTGCGACAACTTCAACTTTTTTGTTCCATGTTTAGAGCAGATGTTATGTAGAAAGCTGTGAAGGCAGCGACAAATTTCCTTTACTGACGTAGACTACGGTTACTTGTCTGTAGGAATTACATAGAAACCTTGGTGGCAGGTGAGTCTTCCTTCCGTAGTGACCCCAAACATCACACCTCGTCATGCCCTTGCGATATGATCAGATTTTTTTGGTTCTCTCCAGATGAACATAGAAGACTGAGATGTGCACCATTCAATTCCCCATAACAAATACTGTCGAACGGTATACAACTCACTTTT